AGAGAGAGAGAGAGAGAGAGAGAGAGAGAGAGAGAGAGAGAGAGAGAGAGAGAGAGAGAGAGTCGTTGTAACGATTCGTCCTTTCCGTTTTTTTTTGTTTTTGTTTTTCGTTTTTCCTCTTCATGGCATGTCAGGCGCCTCATGTTTCTATATCTGCCACCTGTTTTTATTTCTGCCACGTGGCTGCCTTCCTGCACTGACGCGCACACACACACACACAGAGAGAGAGAGAGAGAGAGAGAGAGAGAGAGAGAGAGAGAGAGAGAGAGAGAGAGAGAGAGAGTCGCTACGATTCGCCCTTTCCGTTTTTTGTTTTGCGTTTTCCGTTTTTCCTCTTCATGGCATGTCAGGCGCCTCACGTCTCTATATCTGCCACCTGTTTCTATTTCTGCCACGTGGCTGCCTTCCTGCACTGACGTGCACACACACACAAAGAGAGAGAGAGAGAGAGAGAGAGAGAGAGAGAGAGAGAGAGAGAGAGAGAGAGAGAGAGTCGTTGCTACGATTCGTCCTTTCCGTTTTTTTTTTTGTGTTTTTCGTTTTTCCTCTTCATGGCATGTCAGGCGCCTCACGTTTCTATATCTGCCACCTGTTCCTATTTCTGCCACGTGGCTGCCTTCCTGCACTGATGCGCATACACACACACAGAGAGAGAGAGAGAGAGAGAGAGAGAGAGAGAGAGAGAGAGAGAGAGAGAGGATAGTCCTTAGTACGATTCGTCGTTTCCAATTTTTTTTCTTTTTTCGCTTTTCCTCTTCGTGGTTTCTATATCTGCCACCTGTTCCTATTTCTGCCACGTGGCTGCCTTCCTGCACTGATGCGCACACACACACACACACAGAGAGAGAGAGAGAGAGAGAGAGAGAGAGAGAGAGAGAGAGAGAGAGAGAGAGAGAGAGAGAGAGGATAGTCCTTAGTATGATTCGTCGTTTCCATTTTTTTTTTCTTTTTTCGCTTTTCCTCTTCGTGCCATGTCTGCCACCTCACGTCTCTATAGCTGCCACGTGGCTGCTTTTATTATTCGTCGTTTCCGTATTTTCTTATTCTTTTTTCATTTTTCTCATGTTCTTATTCTTTTTTCGTTTTTCCTCTTGGTGCCATGTCTGCCGCCTCACGTTTCTATATCTGCCACATCGCTGCTTTGCTGCACTAACACGCACACACACACACAGGTAGATAGATAGATAGATAGATAGATAGATAGATAGATAGATAGAGAGAGAGAGAGAGAGAGAGAGAGAGAGAGAGAGAGAGAGAGAGAGAGAGAGAGAGAGAGAGAGAGAGAGAGAGAGAGAGAGAGAGAGAGAGAGAGATGCAGTGACCCAGATCATGAATACGATTGTCAACAATGCAAGTCCAGAATCTCAAGTTGCTGATACTTCCAATAATCGAGTAGTGTCCAGAAAGGAGGTGAGATAATCATACACAGACGAGAAGGGAGGAAGGAGATGAGACAAAGGAGAGGGAGAATACACGGCCCACTCCTCCGGGCTCCCTACACAATCGCCACCACACAGAACCAGTAATCTGAACACATAGTCGAAGTCCTTCTACAATGTGCCACGTGGCACCTAATCAGTCCTTAATCAGCGCTGGAGCAATGTCAACATGAAGATCCCAGGTACGTAATCACAACCTCCTCACAGTCCCGATCTCGTCCTGAAGTGACGATGAATCTCTCCTTGAAGTGATGATGGAATAGAACAGCAATGCCGGTCACATAGACCCAGCAAAGTCATACGTGGCAGCAGCCACGTCAATAGCAACATGTGGCAGCTGCCACGTCAGCAAGCCTCATAGACAGTAGCCAGCCAGTCAGTGCCCCAGCCAGCAGCGCGTTGCCGTAATCTCGCCAATGCCAGCGTCATGCTAGCGACCACCAGCGTCGCAGCATCAAGCTTGCGTCGCGTCGTCAACACGTAGAGGCAGCGTCAATGCAAGACGGAATGAATGAATGTCAAAGCCAAGGGAGTCAACCTTATGTAGTGTTGACTCGGGGTCTGGACCCTGGCTGCTGCAAACTCCAGCCGTCCAGATCTTGTCGAAGATGAAGGCCTGGATTGATCTGAAACTGTAGTCCCCTCGGCCTGGATGCTTGTCTGGGTACCTGCGCACATACAAGTGAGCGTATCTAACGAGGGGCCTGGGTTCGGTACCTTTGACTGTACAGTTGACTTTGACTCTTGAATTTCCTGTGTGCAGTGTTCGGTCACACAGCCACGTTCGACAGACTCAGGCCCGGGCGCGTCTTGGTCACACAGCCCGGCGCAGACCAACTCAGGTCTGCGTTTCCAGGGGCCGGGTTCTGGCCCTAGGCGTCTTCTGAACAGGGTTATTGCATTCCTGCCGGCCCATTTTCGAGTTCCACCGCAGGAATACTTTAAAACCTTAACCCTCGTTCATACGCAGCAACAATATCAGGAGCAGTTTTAAGAAGTTCTCTTTTACTAAACCATCTGTCTTCAGATGGTGCCTGAGACTTAAAACGCACCTTGAACAGCTTCTGAGGTCGTCCACGTGCTCCTGTGGAAAAGTACCCATGTTCTATGATTCGATCTACATCATATCTGTCGTCCATAGATGGCGGAATCATAGAGGGTCTGTTTGGGAGAAAGATGGCTATTGAGAAAGCGACCGCCAGAGTGGCCACAACAGGGTGGCCTTGTTGATGAGAGGCTGTCGGACCAGCCATGAGAATCAGTTGTGAGAAAGGACTGGAAATGGCATTGGATTGAGGATTGATTGGACATTGCATTGCATAGTCAGGGGACCCTAGGCAATTTGATGGAAGGTC